GTACCAGAAGATCATATATCTATGAATAGGATTCAAGAAGTTTCTCTTTGTCTTTGCTATTTCATCTTCATCTTTTAGTTCAAGCTCAACCAACTTGAACTGATTTCATGAAAATAATTTGTTTTAATTTAAATATTTTATTTTGGGGAATTTTATATATGAGTACTATATTTATACAATTTCCAGTCCTCTCTCTCCCAAGTCAATCTTTTCTAATGCCTCCCTTCTCAGATTCATGGCTTCCTCAATTTTTATTACACACACACACTTACACAAACACACATATACACACACTGACACTCATGGCACACACACATACACACACAGCACACACACACACACACACACACACACACACACACACACACACACACACACACACACCCCTTACTGGGGCCAGTAAGCATTGCTTGTGAAGGATTTTTACTTAGTTTGCTCATACTTGTCTCCTCTGTGAAGACTGTGCTTGGCATAGCACGAGTTCCCAATAAGCATTTGCTGAGTGAATACATTGCGAAACTTTCACACACAGAGACAGACTGCTCTAGTGAATTTGCTGGTTTGTCTGGAAGCAACGTCACAATAAAATCAACGTGTGTTTGTGATGGGCATCTGTGATATTTTCCCTTTACTGCTAGGCTTGGTGTCCCGGTTTGGAAGGAGGGTGGGGAAATCTCCTTCCTGGACAGCCTCAGATTGAAACGGATGGAAACAAAGGCTGGTGAAAGACAAGTATATTCTTAAAGTAAAAACAACAACTGGAAAGAGAAAAAAGGTTGGCTGTGCTGGAGGATGACTGAAAACAGAAAAATTTTGAAATTCAATCATCAACACCCACTAACCTTTCTGAATTCTCTTTAGTAAGACTCTTTGAAGTGGCTTTCTGCCTGATCATCATTTCTGTTGGCAACACCAGAACAATTGAAATGTCAATTGCTTCTTGGAGGAATCACTTCTCTATTTCCTTCCTTCCTTCCTTCCTTCCTTCCTTCCTTCCTTCCTTCCTTCCTTCCTTCCTTCCTTCCT